AACATTCCCTTGAAGCAAAGATGACTAAAACTCATCCAATCTCATTTCCCACTCCCCCCAAGTTAAGTCCACAACTTAAACCCTCATTCCATCCAGACCTCCTTACTCACGACTATATCCACTAGTGTCCCTCTTGCATCCCTCATCTCATTGCCCCACCTCTCCATAATATGTATCCTTCTGTCTTCCCTCCACCTATCAGCCCTGAACACCTATTCCATCCCACCTCCTCCTCCTCAAGATCTTCAACTAAGATGTGTATTGAATAAGCATATCCTGAAGGCTCCCTATGCCTGTCATTTTGTGAAAACCAAGTCCGAGTGAGCAGGTGAGCTGTACCAAGTGACATCCCAGCACAATAAATCAGTATCCACAAGAGAATTAGAGCTAGCTTAAGGGCCTGGGGGATACTGTGCCAGCTTCAGGGAGGAAGAAAAGCAAAATGAAGAAATATCTTCTGGAGGACCAAGCATTCAAGTTGGATCTTTAAATCATAGTAGGATTTGGGCATGTAAAGATTGGGGGACATGGGGCATAGAATGGACCAGGGGCTAGGACAGGGAACACACAGCCCTTCAGCTTGACCAGAGAGTTCTATATGGACAGCAATGTCCAGTGGACAAGTGGATTAGAAATGGAGAATTGGACCTACCAGGCCAAGGAGACCCAGCAAGGTGACAAAGAGCAGCACTAAAGACAGTCAGCATCCCTTGAGTGTTTACTGTGTACCATGAATAGCTTGTTATGTTTTAAATGTTTTAACTCATTTAATCCACATAAAAACTTTCTGACAAGAGGACTACTGAGATACCAGTTTTTTAGATGAGGATACCAAGGCATACAGAGCAAAAGCAACTTGACTGCAGGTCGTAAAGCTGGTAAGGAACAATTAAAGGATATGAAATCTGGCTCGAGGGTCTGTACTCTGAACCAACCAACAAAACCACCTCTCAGGACAGCTTAACGGTTGAAAGGATGCTGTCCCCAGGACATTATAAGGATTAAATGCGACAGTGCTTGCAAGAAATGTGCTGTAACTCCAAGGCCAAAAAAGCTAGCCATGGGCTGCCTTGAATGTCTATAGTGGACCTGCCAGCAGCCAAAGCAAGAGGAAGAAGAGGTCAGGCAGGACTAGAGATGGGACCCTGGGCCAAGAGGGGCATTATGAAGAGCACAACCAGGACAAATCTCTACCTTCAGGGGGTGCAGGAAGAGAATGAAGAAATGAGCATAACCCAAAGGCAGAAGGAGGAGGGAGTTTCAAGGAAAAACAGGTGGTTTGTTAAAAGCAGCAAAGGGGTCAAAACAACCACTTAGGGCTGAGATTGTACCCTGGAACTCACAACTGAAAGTTTTTCCCATCTTTAAGAAACATAAAGAAGAGTGGTAGAGAAGCCAGAAGGCAGGGGCTAAGGATGGAAAAAGAATGTTCACAGCTCTGTGAGGGGCTGATTCAGGTGGTGCCAAGTGTAGACACAAATAAAACTGCCTGGTGCACAACAGGGTCCGAGACCAGCTCTTCCTCTTCAGTCCTTCCTCACCTAACCAAAACAAAGGTGGTTTTTTCTCAGGTTGGTGAGGAGGCTGAGGACAAAGGAGACTCCACTGACAGGCCCTTGGCAGAAAAGGGAAGGAGTGGCAGCTGGCACCCAGGGAGGGCTTCCTATGTGCCAGGCTTTTACCTGCATCATCTTACAGAATCCTCACACATACTCCATGAGGCATGCACAGTCATTACACCAGAGAGGAGGAGCCTGAAGTCAAAGAAGTGAAACACTGTCCAAAGCTACACAGCCCAAACTCAAATGTCAGGTCCTTTTGCCTCCAGTGGGGGCTCAGGAAGAGGGAATACAAGAGAGAGACTCTTGTTTTCTCTGAACTGGGAGAAGAGACAATGGGGAAAGAGGGCATTTTTAAGCAGGAAGAAAACAGTTAGAGCAGGGCTTGTTTTGAGGGGCGGAGAAGGGCCAGGGTTCATGTTTGGGGTAAATCTGGGTCTTATGATAAAGCAGCAATGAGGGCAGAAAGCACTGTGAAGGGCACCATGCTGGTTTCTGGCCTCCTAACTCCCGGCCTGCAAAGGGTTTTTTACTTCCCTACAAGTGCCTACTAGGGTGTTACAATTACACTGTCTGTAAGTGTAACATCTTTAAAGCCCAAAATTGTTTCTTTAATGTTGTCTTTCTCCCACCACAGTGAGAGCTGATGAAGGAATCACAAAATGGAGAAAACTCACAGAAGGAAGATGAGTTTTAACACCAAAATGGGATATTACATGTTTTGTTTCTGCATATTCTTCCTCAGTTTTCTTAATGTAGCCAAGTCTCTCTCCTATGCTTGTCCACCATTTAGTATATACATTGCCTAGAAATTGTTGGTGTAAAGGGATCAATCTGAAAGCATGGTCACTTCCTTTTCCTGCCCTGTGGCATTCAGACCTCTTCTGCAAATAGCAGACCAACTCGTAAGGAGTCATCATTTTATATAGCATTTGATCTGTTTAATTCTCCTATGAAAACAGGACGTCAGCTCAGATATTCTGAAAGTTCTAGCAGGTAAATATCAACCCGAATTCAAATGCATTAAATATTTAGAGACTCACAGAACTTCAAAGAACCCTTGAGATCACCTACTCCAACTGCCTTACTTTCTGAAATACACACAACCACAGAGGTTGTAATTTGCCCCAAGTGGCACAGTCACAAGAGCCAGAGTCTGGGCTAGAACCATGACTTCATTCAATCTCCTAGCTCTCTGGCTAGTGCCCTTCCACTACACCTGTTTCTCCTCTCCCCCTTTTAAACTTTAGAGATTGGAATAAAGTACAAATTTAACTAGAGTCTTTAAGGTTTTTTACTATTGTTATTATTCACTGGCTACATCTAAAAATATAAACCAAAATGTCTCTACCATCCAGCTTCAGGAGACATAGGCAATTTCAAACCCTGCCCAGCAAACATTAAAGCCTTCTAAATATGTTCAAGGAGTTCTGGTAGCATAGTGCCTAAGGCACTTGACTGCTAACCAGAAGGCTGGCGGTTCAAACCCACCAGCCACTCCTTGGAAGGAAGATGGGGCAATCTACTTCCATAGTGATGCCACCTTGGAAACCCAAGGAGCGGTCGCTATGAGTCAGGTCCGACTCGATGGCACATAACAACAACAACAAATATGTTCAAGAAACTGTTTTTTTAAAAAAATCTTGTCCATAAAGTGAACTCAGCAACAAAACATGAACTGAAAGATCAGATTCTGTATTTTAAAAAATACTTCGGAATTTCATTGATATGGAAATCAAATCTAACAGCAGTGATTTTTTTTTTTTTTTTCTTTAAGTCTTGCAAGCACAGAGAGCATTAGATTATTCAAAACTGCTCTGGAGCAGCAAGGCTTATTTTAAGCTTATGATTCAACTGGTACATTAATTAAAAACTCCACCAACCCAAATTGACAGATCTTGATATCAATGGGACCAAAAGAATTAAAATAATAATTGCCATATAGAAGATTAAAAAGGGGAACAGCAGCAGACGTCAGTAGGACAAATAACAAGCAAGCGTTGTGGGGGAAATAAGATGCATATAATGGGCGGCTTTTATGGATTTTTTTAAAATGAAGGTCCTGGAAAAACGAGTATTGTCAAGAAATGCTTCTTCATAAATAATGAATCTGATTTTTGTAAGCTGGATGAGAGAGAAAAAACTTGTCTACTTAATTCCTTGCTGAGAAGGAGCAACGTAAAGAAGGAAGAAGCTCAAAGTGCCAAAGTGCCAAAGTGCCCAAACAAAGCTAGGTGGCCAGAAAGGGGCCTGAGGTGGGAGAGGAGAAGAGACATTCGGGTGAGGGGTTTCAGGCAAGTTAACCGGCGAGCACAAACTCGACAACAGACGCCACTATCCAGTGCAATCTTTCTTTTCCAGATGCCGGCTGTCTGGCACCTGTGTGCGCCCCACAGCCGGTTCTCGAATCCCCCTCGGAGTGGCTGACCCGCGCCCCACAAGTCGGCATTAATTTCTATCTTCCACTCATGAGGCCAAGCAAACGAGAGCTCTTTTAGCTGTCAAGGCCCCGCAGGCTGAAACCTTCTTCCCTGACATCTGTCAAACCCGAAGCGTTAGCCAGCCTCGCCGCGTCCTCCGCGGGGCTCTAGGGCCGGCAGCAGGCCCGCACCTGAGCACAGAGCGACATTCTCGCGACGGAGGACACCCGCTCGCAGAACCACAGGGGATCCTCCCCGGGTTGCCCAGGGTGCGGACGGCGCAAGTCAGACGAAAGTTCGCAGCCTGCGGTCGGCCCCCATCTCCAGCCGGAGATTCCCGGGTACAGCGCCAGCCTCCGCGACCCACCAAAGGGGCAGGCGGGATCTGACCCCCAAGTCCGACGGCGTCGCCCTCCCCACCCCCATTCGGCCCCGCGGGCTCCCGAAAGGGAAGTGGAGGAGAGGAGGAGGAAGGGCAGGGAAGAGGCATCGCTACTCCAACGCCCTTGGGATGCAGTCGCTAAAGATGGTCCCCTCGGGGGTCCTCGCAGTTCCCAGGGATACATCCTCGCACCCACCATTCAGCCGGGTCATTGCTTCCAAAGGGTGGAGCTATTCCTTTAAGAAACAGCTGGTTGCCCCTTCCCCACCCCTCACCCCTCCCCAGTCAGGTAGTGAAGCCTGGGGCGGGAAGGTGGGTACACCCGCGGACACTCTCCCGGTCCCTTTAAGGGCGCCTTCAGCACCTCTGCCCGCCCTACCCCGCAGAGCCAGCCCCCGCGAGAAAGGATGGGGGCGGACAGGCGCGGCGCCTTTAAGGGGCGCAGCCTCCCCGCGGCCCGGGTGGGGGCAGGGAGCGGGCACGGGCCCTTTAAGGCCGGCAGCAAGCACGTCGGGCAGGGTTCCCCGGCAGCCTGCTGCGCCCCGGGCGGCGGCGGGGGCGCCGCGCCTGGCAGGGGGGTAACGGCCCCCGACGAGGTGCCCGAGGCCGCACGCCGGGCGCCGCCGGCCCAACACTCACCGTGGCTCGCCAGGAAAGCCTGCGTCCGCGCCCCCACTCGGATCCCGCGGCGGCGGCGGCGGTGAGTCCGGCGCGGGTAAACAGGCACCTCCGTCCCTGACCTACTTTCTGCCTTCCCTAAATGTCGCACCACTAACCTACTTTCCGACCAATCCGCTCCCCGCCGGCCCAGGCCCGGCCCCCCGCCCACCAATCGCTGTGCCCAACCCCCCTTCCCCGCCCACCAATGGAGGAGCCGCGGGGCCCGGATACCTGCCTCTTCACGCCAGCCAATCCGAGTGCCCGAAGGGAGCCGGTCTCGGCGATCGCCACCGGCCAATCCGCGCACAGCTGAGCGGCCTGCTGGCCAGTTGGGTGGCGGCTAGAGAGGCCACTGGCCAATGGCGAGGTGGCGGGGGCCGGTTAACCTGCTACTTTCCCACCACCAATCACTCTGCGCACAGGAACGCACGCCCCGGGGAGAGGACCAATCTGCGCGTTCTCTCTAGAATTTTTTTGCCCCTGCCCTCTTCGTTTTCCCTCAGGTCTCCCACTCTCCGTGACCACTGCGGGCTTAGACGCCCCACTCCTTGCAGTTGCCTAGGATGTCCCATTCTCTAGGTCCCTGCCTTGCGTCTGGCTCACCACCCTCTTTTTCTTTCTTCACTCCGGGCACCCTGACTAAAAGCAACATTTTTCTCCCTCCCGGTCAACTCCATCTAGGAAATCAATTTGGGGAACATAGAGTGGCAGACCCTTCCTAAAACGCCCAGGCTTGCCAAAGTCCAGACGAGTGGACGAATATTTAGTATTTCTGGAAGCCTTTTCCACCCCGAAAATTCCAGGTGTTCTTACGTTCCTCTTCTTTGGTCTTGACCTCCAAGCGTTCCACTGGAGCTGTCATTCTCGTCGTTCAAAAGAGAACACTGAAGCACCAGGCAATTAAATTGCATTTCCTCCCAATAGGCAAGTTTTGACCACTTACTGCGTGGCAGACACGTCCCAGTGGCCGCGGTTTCTGCAGCAAAAAACGGTTCAAGGAGCGAGACAGAGGAAGCAGTTACAGAAGAGAAGAATTCCATCATAAGATGCGAGTTGGGTGCTGAGGGGACGGAGAATCCGTCCTATTTTTGCATCTCAAGCACTTAGCAGAGGGTCTTTAAAGAACTCCTAACCTTTCTAGATGTTAAACTCTGAATACAATTGTGGACCGCGTCTTCTTTTTTGTTTTCCATTTGCCCCTCCCTTTTAACTCTTAAAGGAGTGGAAAGAGGTGGGGAGGAGGGCTGGCACATGGCAAAAGCTCCACAAATGTTTGTTGACTAGATGTATGCACGAATGGAATTAAATCATTCCATGTAAGTCTGTGACCCAGACTAGCCCCTGCAATTCTAGAATTCTAACCTTGTAAATTCCTTGAACACAGATACTACGTTTTAATTGTTGTGAGCCCATTGGCTCATCCCCAGCTTATTGCTGATAGAAGAGTTGTTGCCCAAAAGTACTTATGGTTGTTTTCAAGGTCAACGACTTTAGTGAGAGCTTAGCCACTCCTCGGAAGGAAGATTGGGCAATCTACTTCCGTAGTGATACCACCCCAGAAACCCAAGGAGGGGGTCGCTGTGAGTTGGATAGGACTCGTCCGGAGTGAGATTGGTTTTTGGTTTTTGGTTTTTGGTTTACTACTATTCCTGAGTTTATACGCAGGTGGAACTTGGCTATTGCTTTGTCTCTGTCCCCGTTTCTTACTGTGTGTAAGTGAGACTTTAGCAATGCACAGAACAAGATATTGTGGATGAAGAATAAGAGCTCTGGTAGCATAGTGCCTAAGGCATTTATTTGACTTCTAACCAGAAGGCTGGTGGTTCAAACCCACCAGCCACTAGTATAATTGGATTAATACTAGTTAAGTAGCCATAACCTAAAGCTGCTGACTAATGAATCCATATTGACTTGAAGGAAGGGTGGAAGGAAAGAATGTTCATGTAGCATCTACTATGTGCCAGGCACAGTGCTAAGTGCTTTCTTTGCATTTTCTCCCTTAATTCTCATAATCAGTCTGTGAGAAAGGTATTATTACCCCGTTTTACAGAAGAGGAAAATGAAATCTGAAGTATAACTAGCTGCCTCTGTGTTGGCAAGATGGTAGAGCCATAACTCAAACCAGGTTTATTGGACTCCAAAGCCTCCATACCACCTGGTTACTATCAGGCTGACAGGAGGCTCTCTCCATGGCCGACTTCAGAACTTTTATCAGTGATCTGAATGAAAACCCAGAGGACTTGCATCACATTTTCAGATGACACAACTGCTTGGAGGGAAAGAGACACTATTACATAATATAAGCTGAATCCAATATTGGAGCAGTGGGTTGACTCTAGTAGGAATAAATGTGGGGTCCTATTCTGGAAAACCAACTGGATGTCACACTAGAACTAGAAATTTCTTTGCAGATGCATGTATGAGCAAGACTATAGGGTCTCAAGTGACAAATAACTTAATCTGAGTCCACAGTGAACTGTGGCTGCCAAAATAAACGTATTCTATCTTAGGACATATCAATAGAAGTCTGATATCTAAGGCAAGATGGGTTTTAGAGTGCCCAGTGCTGGTCCGTAGCATGTGGAGTTCTGTCTGCAATTAAGGCTTGACAAAGAGAAGTTACCCACATACATAAGAGGAGGGACCAAGATATAAAGAGGCTGGAAACTGTGTCGTACAGGGAATGATTAAAGGAAGCAGAACGTTTTGTCCCAGGAGGTACAAGGTAACTGTCTCCATATATTTGAAGAGCTGTCAAATAGAAGAGAAATTAGACTTGTTCTTCAGGGGCCTTAGGGTGGAAGGGGAACCTGTAGGTGGCAATTCCAAAATTAATCAATATGAAGAATTTTCTAACAACCAAAGCCTCCTCTTCTCTGGTAAATTCTGAATTTCTTGTCACAGAAAGGGTCCAAGCAAGAATTGGATGACCACATAGTTGGATGTGGGATGGACCCTGCCCTCTGAGATGATCTGTTCTCATATACTGGTTTCCTCTTTTAAAGGAGATCATCCTGTCTTTTTCTATCCTGAATGCCCAAGCCACTGATTCTCCTTACATGTGCCTATTCTTCCATATGCAATTATATTTTCCTTTATGTTTCTCTGTTGGAAACCCCAAGTACCTCAATTATCCAGTAAGTAACTACTTCCTTTTCATTTTCTACCCTCCAGAATATCCACTCTTCAATTCTCTGGGCACTGCTAAGATCAAAGAAATCTGCAGTTCACTGGGCATGTACAGAATCATTAGAATAAAAGGAAGGGAAGAGAAAGCACTTGTTGAGTATCTACTGTGTGCCAGGTGTTAATACACATTATTGAATGTGATTCTCACATTAACCCCAATGGTTGATATGTTCCCTCTCCACCACACTTGGCTGAATGACTTTTATCAAGTTGCTTAACCTTTGTGCCTCAGTTTTCTCATCTGTAAAATGGGGATAATCTAGCATCTGCTTCATAGGGTTGATGTGAAAGTTAAATGAGATAATAGGTGGGAAGCCTTTCACACAATGCCTGGCATATGGTAAAGATTCAATAGATATTACAAAAAAAAACAAACAAACTCACTGCCGTAGAGTCAGATCTGACTCATAGTGACCCCTCCTTGGGTTTCCGAGGTGGTATCATTGCAGAAGTAGATTGCCCAACCTTCCTTCTGGGGAGTGGCTATCACTATTAAGAATCCTATAAAATAGATATTTATTGTGCTAATTTTACAAATGATGTTAGTGAGGATAAAGTAGTGTAATCCACTGTAGTTGCCCAAACTGATCCAATGGCCAGATCTGTTAGAATTACCTGGAGATGTTTTTTAGAAAAATTGAGATTCCTGAATCACAATCTGGAAGATTCTATTCTATATATTTGGGATCTGAGCTACAGTAAAGTTTGTGAGCTGCTGGTGTGACAGAATTAAGTATAGACTCTGCAGTCAGACAGACCTGAGGCCAAACCCCAGGTTTGTTGGATTGAATGAGCAAGCCAATGACAGGACCAGGAAGTACTAGGAGCAATAGTGCTCTTTGGGAGGAAGCTGGGGAGTCCTGAGATGCACATGTTAAAGCTCTTGTGGAAAACCAAGTAGGAAAGGATTTACAAGGTGTTAAGCACTATTCTAAGAACTTTACAGCCATTACCTCATTCAGTTCTCATATAAACCCCAAAAAATAGGTACCTTTATTACTACTATTTACAGATGAGGAAACTGAAACACAGATGTCCTGGGATCCAAGGCTACTCAGGCAGAGTGACCCAAGAGCTCACATTTTTAACCACTTTGTTAAATTGTCTCTTCATAATTCCTTTGGCAAACAAAGAAACAATATTTTAGAGATATGGATTTAAGAGTCATCACTTCAGAGATGGCATTATTAAAAAATAAACTCTCAATGGATTGGGGATTTAAGTACAGAAAAGAAGAGCACTCAGGAGTAGTGGTTTCTCACACCCAGGAAATACAAGAAACAGATGCCTCTTCAACTAACTTAAGCTAAACGAGGAGATTTATTGAGACGAGACAAGGTCTCATGCAAACCTAGGGCAAGAAGCACACTGAATCCTCCCAAAGGACTGGCACTGAGATTCCATTAGCTAAGAAGGTAGCACCTCTCTCTCTCTTTCTCTGCTGCCATGTGGTCTTTGGACTTGGCTTCTCTCTGCCCATCTACTTCATGATTCTTTCTCTGTAGTTCATCACCCCCTACTGCATTTTTTATGACCCTCGATGACTGCTGTCAACCACTGAGAGACAGAGCAAGAGAGAAGTATGTAGGTGGCAGAAGAGGCTCAGACAGGTAATTCTCACAATGGAAACATAGGCTCGGCAAGACTCCCCAAAGGTGCCTGCTGAAGTGAAAGAAGAATCGGGACAAGAGAAAACGCAGGGCAATGAGGGCAAAAGGAAAAGCAGGAAAGTGTGAAAGAACTAGGTTTGGAAAGTTTCAGATGAAAATCTCTCAACAGACAGATTTAAACACAAGATAAGGAAAACTTACCTTGTTTTGAGAAAGTTTGAGAAAAAATGTTTTTCTGGTTCCAGCAACAAAGAGATTTGATTTTAAAAAACCTGTTTTACATTTGGTACATTGCCCTTCTCTTCACCCAAATCAATATTTATCTC